CGATGTGAGTTTTTTTTAATAATATGATATTAAGATTTACAATTTTTTCAATTTCAATTTTAATTTTAATTTTTTTTATTTTTATCTCTTATTTTTTTATTCTTTTTTTAATATTTATTGTAGAAGAGTTAAAGACTCTCAATATATATTATTTAAATAATAATAATGATTGTTATATGATACTATATATAATTTTAATATTAATAAGAATAGATAAGCTTTGTAGAAATTATTTACGAGATGTGAAGGTGACAATTTATTATTATTATAATGATTTAAATAGAATTTTGATAAATGATTTCTTTGCAATTGTTAATGAGATGACAATGTATAATTGTTAATAAAATTGGTAAGAATTTTTTATAATCATTTTATTGTATGTTTTTATAGGAATAATATTTTTATTAAAAAATAACGTGAATGAATTAAATATAATAATTATAATTAATAAAATAATAAATAATCACAAGAATGAAATAATGAATTTGGATTGAGATAGTTATGTTATAATAAACGAAACGAAGTCAAAGAATTATAAATAAGCAAAAATGGTTTGTACGTAATTATATAAATCATTTTTAATCCGAGATTCGCGATAAACGGAAAGCGATCTACATATAAAAACCGCAATCAACGTTCCGGAATAAGAATAAAATCCCCTTCTCCATTAAATTCACAAAAAGTAGTGGTTCAGATTTAAACATATTTTTAGTTTCAAATGACAAAATCAATAGAAGTGCCTTTTTTTTAACGATAAAACATTGATTTTTATATATACAGTAATTAAAGAAGGTTGCCCAAAATCCATTATATAAATCCTTTCCGTTTCTAACGAGTCACGAATTAATGCTTAGTAGGAGAAAATTACAAAATTAGCATCACATGTGATAAAATGTACAAGTACATGATTTGACAAAAAAATTTATAACAATATATAACATATAAACAGTAGTTCCATTCTTATTTTCAATATCTTTTCCAATATTAATAATATCTGCAATAAATATCTCGTTAGAACAATCGAGACACCTATTTTCGTAAATTTCAATGTGTTATCCGGAAATTAACAAATGACATCCGCAATAAATTATAATTTTTGAAATATCAATTTTTGTGCCTTCTCGTGATAATATAAATTAGAATGACATTGTTGTTGGTTGTCAAGATTAATACGTCTATACAAAAGTATAAAGAAAGAGCTTTCAAACAATGAATTTTTTTTTGGATTTTTTCAAAATAATTACCTGTAAAGAGATTCATTAACGTAAATTAGGGTGCTAAACACTAATGAGCTGTCTTTAAAATAATTATAATTCTGATACTAGAATAAACAAACACAATATTGAATAATATTAATGTAGATAATGTTAATAACGTAAATTACATTATAACAATAATCCTATTTTCTCTTAATTTACTGTTTGTTTCAAGAAAAATTAAACATTTTTTTTTCTTTTTTCAAGTTTCTAATTTTAATCTCCCATCTCCTAATCTATCTTTGTATATTGAAAAATTGCAAAGATTTTTTTTGAAAATAATAAAATTATTAATTATTTCAACTGAGGTTTTGATGCAAGCTCTAATTCGATTAAATTATTCATCTTTATATGAAACAGATAAGAAAAAAAATTATTAAGTTTGTATTATTTTAAAAGTTAATATTATATCCATAAAAATATTTTTTTAAAAAAAAATCTATTTATATTCTAAAACATGATTTTGGAATATAGTGTAATCAGTTCAGTAATAACAAACAAAGAAAATCGATATTTTAATACCAAGATTTTAGTCAGTTCTAAAAATAGTATTCAATAGTAATAGCAGATAGATGGATTTACAGATTTGTGAAATTAAATTTCGGAAATAATTATTTGTCTGCATGAATATTTTTTTTTTAATTTGCACAGCGTTGCTCAACATCTATAACAAATAATATCTTTAAATTCAGTAATTAAAAAACGTTTTAAGCTGATCACTATGCCACGCTGATAATGCAGATGCGATCTCTTTTGGAAAATTTTTTTCTTCATATATAATTTTGAACAAAAATGCAAACATGTATTTTATTGTTTATTAGATAATCAATCTCATTAGGAAATAATCTAAACATGGCCATTGTTTCCACCTGTCCAATTATTTTGGAAATGTTTCAATTTATATAGAAGCCATTCTAGGCATGTGACATTCTTTAGTTCATAACGTATAACCGTTTTCTTAAATGAGATTACTAATATTATCGTTATCCCTTGCTACAATGTTACAAATATTAAACGTTTAAATATAAATGAATAATTTAAAGGATAAAAATAATGTAAAAGGCAATTTACTCGGACCCTGAAGCTAATTTTATGAAATAAGAAAATAAATTGTTAATTAATAGTGACAATTAGAACGAAAAGGTTATTATTGTATGTAATAGCAAACGTTGAAAATAACAGTTATTCAGCATAAAGAAAGATTTTTATTAAAAAATAATAATACATTTACATATGTAGAGTATATGACACACAATACATGGAACAGGTGTTATATATTAACATTCCTTTTTTATATAATTTCGCGTCGTTGCATATAATGTACTTCTTGTGATTCGGCATTCATTCATTTTACGTAAAGATATTATTACTATTAATTTAAACTATTAGTGTTAAAAAAGAATTTATATATTTACGGCGTTCCTATTAGTTGAGTGAGAGTAATGAAATATTTTAATAAAACATTAATAATAATTTTTTTCTTAGATCGATCAAAACGATTGTATTTCCGAATGTGGTAAAAATATATATATATCACGCTTTTATTTTTTTGGAAAATGCAACATTTTTTGTACACATACAATTTAAGACAATAAAAACTTAACAAACGTAGTTATTTATTTATTCAATATCTAAAATATCGTCTCAAATATCGAATGATTTATTTTTTAGAGGAGATTGATTATAACTTAGAAACAAATTGGTGTAACAAAATTATATATATATTATATAGAAATACCTATAGTTCATTTCCGTCAAAAAAAAATAAAAAATAAAAAAATAGATAAAAAATAAAAATAAAATCAATAAAAAAATAAAAAAATAAGAGATAAAAACAAAAAAATAAAAAAAAATAAGAGATAAAAATAAAAAAATAAAAAAATAAAATAAAAAAGTTTTATGCTAAATTTTTCGCGGGCTGGAACTGAGAAAAATTATCATTGATTTTTTTTTAAATAAATTAAACTTCTATATATCTATCATTTCATTATTTCATCATAATGATACAATCAAGTTTATATTTGATGGTTTTGCTAATAGCGTGGATAACAATTTTTTCTCTGACATCTTCGGTATCTGGTCTTGGAAGTTTTACACATAATGAAATGAATCCATTCGAAACAAAACCGCGGATATGGAAATACCTGACATATTTCGATGGGACAGTAGTTCTTCGAATTATTAATAGGAATCCTAATATAACATCTCTTGATAATGAAGCGTGGATAAGACCAGTGTTATCTTTACGCATTATTCATCCTAATGGAACAGTCAGCGAAATAGACAAAGACCTAGAGATTCCAGAATTTAACTGGCACATTACTATAAGCCCTGATGGTTACCTCCTGGACCCTGTAAATATATATGCGCTTCAAAAAGGCTTCTTACTTTTTAGATACTTTAATGCTTCAAATCCGGACGATATTAATACTTATGAAGAATGGGGACGTATTATTGACTGGAATGGCAATTTATATGAGTAAATAATTCTATAATAATTATATCATATTAAATTATATTACTGTATATTAATCAAATTAAATAATCATGACAATTATTATTGCCTTTTATTCGAAAATATATTCTAAACTAAAAAGTAATGTATATTTCTCGAAGGCTAACATCGAAAATGGTACATGGTACCCAACAAAAACGTCCATAGTGAATAACGTTAATCCAGAAAAAGGGTTTATAAAGATATATTGGAGGGTGGATTATGTCGAATGGCAACAATATACGATGTGAGTTTTTTTTAATAATATGATATTAAGATTTACAATTTTTTCAATTTCAATTTTAATTTTAATTTTTTTTTTGTTTTTTAGAGATGATGCATTCAATTTTATAAAGCTATCATATGGAAATCTTTCATATCTCGAAAATACGACAGCATTTAATGTCATGGGTACGGTTGACGATGGTTATAGCATAATTATGGGAATTTCCACCTCCTCCGATAACGACGAAGATCCTTTAGAAACTAGTGCCGCGGTGTATGTTTTAACAAAAGGATACGATGATAAACAATTTGGTGCACCAAAACTGCTTTATCAATCAAACTTAGCTAATATTACGATATCCAATATATTTTCTGGCATTTCAAGTACTGGAATTGGACAAGTTTGTACGCTCAACATCACTCAGAACACTGTTACTAGTTCCAGAAATTATTATGTGAAACTTAATTTCTTATCATCTGGCTCTGTTACAGAAATCATCCCCATCCCATTAAGCTATTTACCAGTATTACCTTCAAATTCTACGACAAGATGGTTAGTGGCCAGTATTCCTTATGGTGGTTATGTATTCTATGGTCGTTTTCCGGATGCAAACAATAATACCAATGTTTATGTATACTATTTTGACGAATATGAAAATAAGTTTACGGCCTGGGATAGTCGTGAACCATCAGTTTTAAATTTGCGAGGAATTTTTATAATTCTGCCTAATAATACTATGTTAATATCACAAATGGAAGATTTTAATATGTGGAGTTTTTTGACCACTGATATTCCTAAACTCACAAATTTAGATAATAATTATTCAAATCTTCAAATAAATTCTACTAGTCCTTCAATAAATGATAATATTTCAACTTTAACGAATAATATTACAATCACATATTATGAACCAGTAGAACTTTCTGATGGAAATATTTCGATCTATCAAATTGATAATAGTGGTAACAATATTATTCGACAATTTGTTAATGGCATCAAAAGCTCCGATTTTTGTTCCATTTCCGACGATGGATTAACTGTAACTGTTAAACTTATCAAAAGTACCTTTAGTAATCCTAATAGCAAATTTTATGTTAAAATTGGCAGTAATTTTGCGAGAAGCAGAGCATACAAAGAATCCTTAATGGGTGTATATGATGTTTGGAAATTCAATACGAGTATGTAAAAATAAAATTAATTATTCATGTTATTTATTTATATATTAAATATCATACTAAATATCTCTCTTTATATTCTGACGGTTTTTAGATCCGATTGAAGAACCTTTAGCTGGTAAATTTCAGTGCAATTGTTTATTATATGCGTTTGTTATAAATCACTCAAATTTATTGAAATTTTCTACAATAGGCAAAGTATCTGGAGTGCTGCGTTTAACTATAGAAGGCACCGAATACTTTGAAAATCTTAATTCAACTGGAAAAAATCAATTCTTTGCAAATCTACATCTTGAATTATCTAAAATTATTCCTATTAATATTAAGCGACTAAGTTCAAATGGGAAAACTCAAGTTGACACCACTGTTAGTCCAAGTCGTCAAATATTTATTTCACTTAATATTGAACCATCCAATGAAGGAAGAAGTGTAGCATCTATTATAGATAATTTAAATGAAATGATTAAATATAAAAGTATAACTTCCATTGGTTTAAACCCTATCACAAAGTATTTAGATGAAAATTTTGGATTTACACCAAAACGTGAGTACATGTTAAATTTTTTAAATTATTTAACATGCTATCATTACTAATCACCCTTTAAATGTTTCTTTTTCATTAGAAGACTTATGGGATGAATATAAGTGTAGATTTTTGGGTGTTTTATTAATACTTGCAATTTTATTGGTTCTTTTCTTAATAGCGGAAAAAATGCAAAGAAAGGTAAAAAAAATGACATCTTACTTGTTTGGTATATTTAAAATTTATAGAAAATGGAAATTTGTATGTATTTACATTATTGAAATTCTTTTAAAGGGTCGAAACATTGCTATCTTACATCTTGGATTAATTATTTTTGATTTTGTATTGGATGTCCTTTTTGTCAGTAAGAATGGTAAAGTTATTGAATTATTATATATTCCAAGGTAAATTTTATCTATTTATATTTGTATACATATCTGAATATTTATATTACTTTATTTATTAATTAAAATCTTGTATAAATATATAAATATATAAATATATAAATAGTGTCATATTCTTGACTGTTCCAATCGGTATCAACACTATTTGGGCATTTCATATCGTCAGTCATGAAAACAAATCTAAAGATTTCTTGTATTGGTTCTCTCAAAATGAAAAGTTGGCATCAGTATTTACAGTTTTATCAAGCGCTGACATTGAAGCATTAAGTATTCTCCATTCAAATATAGCCGGACTTAAATGTTTCCAAGCTCCAATTTCAACTAAAGGAAAAAATAGAATCTTTTGGGCGTCTTGTTTAACCGTTTTTGTTGAAGATATACCGCAATTGATTATTCAGGTTAGTCTTCAACTTCTTTTTTATGTACTGTTTATAAATATATTATTATTTTTGATTTGTTTTCTAATTACAAAATTTTCTTTACTTTTAGTTAATATACTATTATAATGTGATTACATATGATATAATTCCTCTCCTTGCACTCGTCTCTTCATGTCTTAGTTTGTTAATAAATATTATTGGCAAATTATTTCAAGCAATAAATAGTTGCCGGCCTGGAACTTTAGAATATGACGGTCAAGATGATTTTCAAAAACTTCAGACACCAACTACTGAAAGAAGTTCCGCTTCAGACGAATCAATATCACATTCAATTGATATCAAAGAAGAAAATGAAAAAAATAGTGATAAAAATAATTTGACAGGAAGTTCAAAAAGTAGCTTTCAGGAAGTAATACTTTGACAAAATATGTTATTATTTACTTTACTGATATTGAGGGTTATTATGTGCAATTGTTGAGAGGAATAGAATATATGTTAATATTTAGATTGACGAATTCATTATGTATAATTTTTCACATTATTTAGATTTTAGATTAGAAAAAATTGTAATATAAAAATTTTGCATTATTTCATTCGCATGCGTTGACATTGGTCATCAATAAAAAAAGCATATTTGCTTTTAATTATATAAACTAGCCAATTATTTTATTTCCAGTACCCACTACATGAGTAAGATTGAGATTGGCAATATTAATTAGCATTATATTTGTTATACATTTTTTAATTTAGTTTAGAAAAATAACAAATCTAATAAAGGTGAATGTCTAGATTTTTATTTTTGTTAAGTTTAAGAAAGTTCATGAGGATTTGATCTTAAAATTTCAGTTGACTTTTGATATTCCTGGATGACATTTTGGTCAGTCATAAAAGCTGTCCAATCTAAGTGAAATATTTCAATATTATTCCAAGAGCAACATATGCTTGTCCTGATAAAGAAATATTTCCATCTAGTGCAAGACATACCTTGGGTAAAGTTAAACCTTGTGTTTTATGAACTGTTAAAGCAAAGCAGTTTTGTGGAGGATATTGGATTCATTGACAATTAGTTCCATTAATTTCAAAATAATGGGTTTGTTTTGTAACATCTATATCAATTATAGATCCTCTAACTGAAAATACAACTTGAATTATTTGTTCTGAAAGGTTTATATCTGTTTTAATACCTATAGTACCATTACATATCTTATATTCAATAAATGAATTATTAAGATACATAACTCTTGCACCTGAATGTTGGAAGGCAAATTTGTTTTTGATTTAAACATCTGATTAGCAAATGAAGTATTCCAAGGTGTTGAGTTTACAATAAAAATTGCTTGTGAAATTAGAAATTTGTTATCAGGCATTGGTAACATATTACAAATCATATGATTAATCTGTTGTGCATTTTCTTTAAACCCTAAAATATGTATTGCATCAAGTAACATGTCAATAGTAGGATGTGTTGTTAAAAATTCTGAATGACGTTGTTGTAGTATATTCCACGTTCTATCACTAATATTTCCAATTCGTACTTCTTCTAATAAATTTAAGAATTGTTAGTCATTGAGAAATTTTTAAAAAAAAGTGAATAAAAAATTGCTCAATTAAAATTCCAAACGATCTGATTAAAAATTGACAAACTTATCTATGAGGGAAAATGAAGGAATAAAGATTTCGATCTGCAAGAATAACAAATATCAAATAAAAATTATCCGAAAAATAATGAAATAAAAAATAAAGTGTTGATATTCATTGTTGTTGTCATTTACATCTTTTTTTTTTATACATTTATTCTTTATTATATTTATATTCATTTCGCAAATTCTTTTATGCTTTTGCGTTGCGTTACATTTTTTTTGGCAATTGCCATTTTTCTCAAATTCTTTTTCAATTTTCATTAAAAAATCAAAAAAAAATTAATCATGGCAAATTTGAGACTGACAGACTTTCCTTTATTTCATCATCAACTTTAATGACAACAGTATTAATTAAGTCAATAATAATATTATTATTATTATCTCTAATAAGAAATCACAATATCACTAGTAATAATAACATTACATGTAATAATATCGAAATAGAAGGCTGATAGACCCTTCTATATTTCATATTAAACATCGATAATAAAATAATAATAACAACAGCAGCAACGATGAAAATAATAAAAGGAAGCGACACCTCCTGGGAAATTTGAAGGACTATGAAGTGTATGGTTTAAAAAAGAGAACGAGATTAATAAGTATGATAATATTAATACTTTAGTACTTGCTGGTATTTTTAAATATTTATTATATTATTAATTTCTTTTAACTTTACTTGATAGAAAAAAATAAAGATATAATAAATTTTATACTGTACTATTTGTAGTACAATGTACTACATTGTGATAGTTTTTGAAGCCACATATCTACCGATTAATGAAGCCACCTGACTTCACATTTTTAATTATAAGTGACTTGATACGGAACATATTATATATAGAAGCTATAGTTAATCTGCGGGACTAACTCAAAATGGTACATGTGTAATGTCAATCAAAATTAACATATACAATTCATATGAGGTAAATATATTCTTTTCAAATTCGTGACTATTAATCTTTACGCGGCGATTCACATGATGACTTTTAATAGTGTCTACAAGTAGTACATCCATTTTTACAAATAATACTGCGACTTTAAAATTTTATTATTTTGTAAATCATATAATAACTATAAATGTTTGGATATGGCGACTTTGTCACCGCCATGTGATTAAGATTTATACATATAATTGGCTGTATAATTTATTAATGTTCAAATACAATTAAAGTAAAATTAAAATAAAAATTATAACTGAGTAAATTTAATGTAGT